AATAAGTCTGGAAAAGTTTTTGCTTGCAAAAAAATGCTCTGTTTAAGACGTTTTTTTTTGCTAGTCTTGAACGAGTTTCAATTGCCATACAAATTTTTATTGGTATGGCAATTGCCCCAACTGCCCCGCTGTCGGCCCGCCACTTGTGACAACTGGTAGATATTTGACAAAAGAGTTTGTATTAAGTATGAGTCATGGTACACGAATTGTAAATGTATCAGAATTTCATGTCTTTACTGATAAAGCAAAGTCCTGTTTTTTAAATCGTTCAAAACAAAGCGAGTTATCAATATTATTTGATAGTCATTATCGTGGCGTGAACCAAGTTCGTCGCTCAAAATGTTTTCATCTTTCTAATTCTATTATCGGTGGTATTTGGTCAACGAGTTCAAAACTGTCAAAAGCACAAATGTAGGAAATAATGAAATTGATTGTTGATCAGTTATTGAAATTGGAGAAAGAACAAATTTACACCATACATGTTGCGAATAGACTAGAAGAAATTTGTTTAAAAACATTTTTATTGTGTACATCTGCCGATAAACCTGCTGTGACACTTATTCAAAACACCATCGAATCACATGGATACTACGGTTGTTTTCGTTGTGTTCAGAAGGGTAAAACAAGAAGAAAGGGAACTCAGCAGAGAAATCTCTGCACTAAAACGTTTTTTAAATTTTTTAGGAAAAAATATTTCATCACATCCTGGTATTGAGCGAAAAAAAGGTTCTGTAAGAGTTTGATCAAATAATCTTAATCTCATTCGTCTCATCAGTCAGAACATTGTTAACAAGAAAGTACACCCATCATTAGATTATCAATTAGCAAAAATGACTAATTTAAAACCCTATCGTCTCAATCAATCGTCCACTGTTCACGTTGAACAGAATGAGATAACAGTGAAAAAACCAATATACAATGAGTATGTTGATAATTGTGAGATTCTTTGAAAAATGAGTCGTGAATTCCTTTTCTTGATAAATCTAATTTCTGAAGCCTTTTAACATGGTAATTGTGGTAAGCTGTCATTTAAATACTCGAGAAAAGAGAAAACTTTTAGAGGTTCATACCAGAGGCGTCTATCCCCATTTGAGCAAATGAGGCATAATGTCCCACTTCCTACTTGTAATCTCTAAAATAGTCTGTTCGATGCAGAATTTCATTGTCTATCGAACGAAGCTATTTTCAATATCTGTTATGGTTGAAGAAATCTTGAAAAAAGCTCAAAATCTTGTTATTTATCGATCATTGTGCACACGTAGTAAGTTTTTCTCGTTTTCTTGTGGTTATATCATATGTAGTTTTCGCTCTGAATAAAGCATTCAGTATGTCACCGAACATCATCAACGTTTCTAGTAAATAGCAGATAGAATTCCACCTGTTACGAACATCAAGCGATAGATTTCGAGTTATTTTATTGGTTTTCGCTTGATTAATTTCAGCACGTGTAGCATTTACAAACGCTGTTAACATCGTTGATTTTCTTATCATTGTAATTAGTTGCCGACATTTGAACAGTACTTCTCCAACTGTTTCTTCCACTCCTTCAGTCGACACATCCTGAATAACACCTTCAACCAAATTGTCAGTTGTTTCGTCTTCTTTTCCGTCCTCCGAATCCAAAGTTTCGTTGCCTGTTTCCATTTTTTGAATGTCGCAGTCATTTTAAAATTAAATTTTTATCACTGTTCACTGGTTCTGTAAACTACTATGAATTTCAGAACAGTAGATGACTGTTTGTGAATAACATTTGAAGAAAAGTGAGTGGACACCTGCATTTTTACCAGTTTGCAGTCAAAGTCTGACCTGATGAAAAAATCAAGCTGAAATGATATAGTACATAAGTCTTTCAAACACTAGGTTGCTCCCCAAAAATAATGAAAATCACTCAAGACCTTAAGCAACTATTTAATTTTGTCCGTTTCGCATTAACCATTTGTTAAGACCTTGAAAATTCATTTCTTAGTCGTTGAGATCTTACTCCGAAAAAATCCATGAAAAGCTATGCTGGTACTGCCAAAAACTTTTCCAGTTAACCTCGTCATCACTCAGGTCGTCCACAGGATTATCACTACCATTAAATCAAATTTTCTCTAATGTTTAACTGAATCTTTCTTCGTCAGTCTCCATTTCATCTTCACTTAGCATTTCATCTGAGTTGCGACCACCATTGTGTACTTTAACCCATGTAGAATATGTTATTAGACAAATCAGAACTTTTGACGCTACACAAGGAACTTACTGACAGACACAACCTTGCTCTACGGCACGCTATTAGCTTAGGTACAGCTTATTTAGCTAACATACGTACTCATTTATTTTTTAAGTAGAATTTAGAAACGTTTTTCGGTTTTGGTTGTGTTCAATAATAAACGAAATCATCGCATATCAACTATAGTCCACATTTCAATGTGTGATCAAAACTAAAGAACAAATTTTTTTCTTGTTCTCGCAGATATACAACGGATTAAATTTTAAACATAATTCAACAGATACAAACTTCGTTCAATAAAAGCAAACGAACAGTGGGCTTCTTTGTCGATTTCGAAAAAGCTTTTGACAAAATTTGGCATAATGCCTTCTTTTCAAATAATATCAGAAACAATACCCCACTCATTTTGGCAATATGTTAAAATCTTACTTAATAAGCAGATTACTGAAAGAAGTTTTCTAGAAATCTTTGTTGCATACCATTTAAAATGCTTCTCATTGTCTTTAGACTAATATGAAAATTTTTCTTTTCCTACTATTAGATAGAGCAGTGAATTGTGTACCAAATACAATGTTGTTTAATTCAAACGAAGTGCAGGTCTTAGGTCTAAGCAACAACTCAGAAATTGTAGTGTTTTAGAGCTAATGCTACCGATTTTAAAATGCGAGCATGCTTTTCCCATGCAAGAAAAAACTTTTTGACTGTGTTTGGACAAGATGACGAAAGAAAGCAAAAGACAAAATTGGGAGTAACATAACAAATTGTGAGATAGTCAGAACGTTATTTTTGTTAGGAATAGTTCTACTCTCAAAGATATGATGTGTTAACTGAGAAATATATAATTTCATTTTTACATTGGTCTACTTTGTATTATTTCTAATTGTTCCTCCTCCTGCAGCACGTCGTCATATTCTTTTTTCAAAAATGAGAACGCCGCTGTGCGTATCTCATTAAGACATTTTATTTGTGAGGAAATGGTTTCGAAGGGAAACAATTTATTTTATGTTAAACGAAATTTGTATCATACTGCCGAAATCATCGATCATAAAGAAAAATGGTCCACATCTGTTCTTCGATAAAAGAAAAAAATAGTGTTTATGCGTTCTTTCACTCGACAAAAAAAATCGTCAATATTTGCTTAAGAGAGAGTCAATATATTTAGTGGGTATTTTTTTTCTCTTTCTTCTGTTGGGTTTTTTCCCAGCATGAGTCAATATTTTTGTTCCAGTGATATCGTTCGAATATATCACGTATTTTCTTTGCTGGTTTATATTATCTTTCCGTTTTCTTCTGATCCTTCTTTGATCTATAGATTTCTGTATGCATATTTATAAGATTCTTGTTTTTCTTAGCAAAAGTATCGACTCATGCTTAGAAAAACCCAACAAAAGAGAGGGAAAAAAAATACCCAGTAAACGGACTATGCGCTACATATAAGTTACCAATTCAACACAATATTCTTCTACGCATTCATCATTTTTTTTGCAATATAAAGAACTGTTAACAGATCAACCAATAAAATATCAGTATTAGAACGTCTCATCTAACAGTAAGTCAAAATTACTAAAAATCACTAAATTCTATGTAATTTCGTACAACTTGAGAAAACGACGACGATATGTAATAAGAAATAAGACATTTATTTCTGTTTTATGACTATATAGCAGACTGATTTGTATGAATTGAATATAGGTCAATCTGTTTCGTTTGATCCGTTTTCAATATTACACTTCTGCTCTTTTTTATGCTTTTTTATGATCCTTCTCGGTCTCCTTCTCTATTGTTGTTTCTTCCGATCACAACATTCGTCAATGGTTCATCTTGAACTCCTCACTATTGCTTAATTTATTGTTAACTTATTACTTATTACAGTAGTTGATGTGTTTTTTATCTTTTCTCATTTATTGTTTTCATTACTTATGTTATTTCTTCTTACTTTTCTTATTTTACTCTTTTCTCTCGTCTCTATACCGTCTTTTTCTTTCTCCCTCAGGTATCACCCACCGGGATATATTTGTCCTTTCCTTTTTGCAAGAGATGCACTCTATACGTTCACTGACATACCGCAAACTTATACTGTAATATTGCCGGCTTACTACATGTGCACGGAAACTAAGTGCTGAAAATATATTCGATCATCAAGTAATTCGGTTGAGGGTGAGAGTGATTCCAGCATGCCATAATCCAGATTTGATCCTGGCTAAAGGAATCATCAGATGGCTTTGACTTTGTGTCTTAGTTGTTATTAGAAAGAATTCCGAAGAATCCTAAACAAACCATAAAGTTCTATACAGAATTCTAACACAAGGTTAGAACCGATAGATATCTTTATATGTCTAAGAGAACAATAAAAATTCTACGCTAGTTTGGATTTTTTAATTCAGATTGGTTAGGACCATTTGATAAGACCCTTGAGCAAGGTCGAAACATATATATGTTTCGACCAAGCAGTCATGACATATGTCATGACTGCTTGTCTCAAAATTTTAGTGGCAGCCAGCTATATACGAGGCTGGTCGGTGCTCTGGTGGACCCTCTCTTAAGCAGATATTAACCATTTTTTTGTCGAGTGAAAGAACGCATAAACACTTTTTTTCTTTTATCGAAGAACAGATGTGGACCATTTTTCTTTCTGTCAACGCACACATATATTTCACTCATCATAACTTGTTAGTAGTGCTATTAATTACAAAAACAACATTTAAATATATTGAATTTTTAGCGGTGAGGATGAGGTCACGGAAGTAGGTGGACGTTGAGCGTGAAGATGAAGGTAAACAGAAGACTCTGATTCTTCGCCCTCACCCTCAAGATAGCGTTTTGTTCTCAGTTGACTTGCAGTACCTTCAGGGAGTTTTCTTTCTTCTGAATGTTAATATCGTTATTTTTCTCGTCTGCTGTCGATCGTTGTTTATACGATCTTTTCCCATTCCTCGCAATGCGTCTTGTTCTCAGTTGGCTTGCACGGCCGTAATAGGTGTTTTCGTCCTTCTGAGTCTTAATCTACTTGTTTTTCTCATCTGCCGTCGATCATTGTACGTATTTTCCATATAATGAGACATTGGATTTCCCGGCAAAATCAATTTCTTTGAAAACAAACCACTATACGACAAAATTGTTATCCAGAGATATAGATGTATTTCGAGGTGTGAGTAGAAGTAGTTGAGGGAGAAGCCCTTTTGGGAGTTCCCATGTCACTGAGCGTGGGGCAGGTACCGATTCGGAGTGGGTGGGGTACCTTGATGTTGAAGAGCCCATGGGTTCACCGTGGCAACGTATTCTTGACACTGTTAGTGATAGTGGTACCCGGTTGATGGTACGCTTTACGTGTGTCTAAGCATTTATATCTAAGCATGCTGTACCTCTGAAATTTCATTACCTTTATATTATGCCTCTATAGCTGTATTTTATAG